AATTACTGTAAATATCCACTGTTTATGTTATTTTAAGAAATAATCATGCCGATTTTATTTTCATCATGCGAAGTAAAACTGGAACACACCATTATTTATAGTTATTTCACTTATCGCTCTAAATTTCATACTTTTAATTACTTTAAGTTTAACATATTAGAAACTTTTTTGGTTTAATTTGAAATATTAAAATTTTTTTAAATGTCGAGTTTTTTTTGGCTTTTTTTAGATTTGGGGCAGTACAAAAAGGATATGCGTCACCACCACGTCCTTATCCACTACCTTCAGGATATGCTGCACCACCTCCTCCTCCTCCTCCTCCTCCTCCTCCTCCTTACGTGGCACCATCACCTCCTGTTTATGCACCACCACCACCAGCACCTCCTGTTTATGCCCCACCACCACCCCCACCACCACCTCCGGTTTATGCAGCACCACCACCACCTCCACCACCACCTCCGGTTTATGCAGCACCACCTCAACCACAACCAGCATCTTATGCATTACCTCAGCAATCTCCTATAGCGGTAGCACCAGCACAGCAAGCATTTGCTCAGGTACCATCTTATGGTAGTGGAATCCAAGCAGTGCCATCTGGAAGTAGGTCTAGTCTTGGAGGTTACCAACCTGGTGCGCCACCAATACCACCACCGGCACCACCACCAGCACCGCCACCACTACCACCACCAGTACCACAACCAGTGCAGGATACACCATTATCAGCATACCAAGGCCAAGAAGCACAATTACCTGCAGAGCCTTCACCTTCATCATCATACCAAGATCATGGAATGCAAGAACCAGCTTCTGGTCCTGTTTCATCTTATGGTGACCAAAGTTCCGGTGGATCATATCAGGAAGGTGGTATATCTGGAGATGGCAGGAAAAACTTCCATGATCGAATAAAAATTTTCAAAGTTCTAAAACAACGATCAGTACATTAAATTTCTATCGAAACTATCAAATGTATGCATTTCTTTTTTGATGTGTGCTCTATGCTTATACTTTTATTTTA